GAAAGAAGAAGCGAGAAAGAAGAAAGAAGAAAGAAGAACAATAAATGATATATGAGATGATAAAATTGCTGATTTGAGATTGAGATTAAGACTAAGACTAAGACTAAGTAAGATAGACTACCTTTATCACCAGCTATGTGTTGTATGTGTGTATGTGTGACACCAATGACAGAGATCATGAGCTCTGTTACATGTTGGATATTATAGCAGTCATCTACCCGATCTACGTCGCCGGGCAGTCTAATAGCGGGGAAATAATAGGCTCGCTTACATTGTTATTGTGACTGTCAAGTAAAAGGGGCTGCTGACTGACCGACCCCCCACCTTCCCCCCGCGTCTCTTGCCAAGGCACTACCAAAACCTCCCCTCATTCATGATGGCAACATCTCTCGTGGCAGAGAAAGCAACAGTCCCCTAATCCATTCGTCTCTTCCATCCTTACGTACCTTGCACCATGACGACTCTTCACCACGCTTCACCAATCCGCATTGAGCCCATCACGAACCCCGACGATTTCACCCGCTGCTTCTCCATCGCCGCGTCCGCGTTCGGAACGCAAACCGCGGACGGCATCTGGACCGCCTTCAACCCGGGCTGGGACACGCCCGAAGGCCAAGTTTCTGGCGCTGCACGCTTGCAACGCCGGTGGGCGGGCACGACTGTCGACCACGCGGGAAATGCCAACACGGTATTCCTGAAAGCCACGATTCCGGCTGCGGATGATGAATCTGCCTCCGGCTCGGCAGCAGGTGCGGACGGGAGCGCGAGTGGCGGCGAGGTCATCGCGGGGTTGGCGATCTGGGTGCAGCTCTCCACGGTGGAGGGGCACGGCATCGTGCGAAGAGCAGGTCAAGATGCCGTGGAGAAGTCCGAACTGGACGCCTTATATCCGAACGATCAATCCGCGCAGGACTTCCTACGGCAGGCTATGAAATCATTAACGAAGCAGCGGGTTGGCGCCGTGGAGGATGCCGCGGAACGGGATCCGCCGGCGATCATGGCGCTCGATCTTTGCGCTGTGGCGCCGGAGTTCCAGAGAAGGGGGATTGCGGGGGAGTTGGTCAAGTGGGGGTTGGAGGAAGCGCGGAGGCGCGGCGGACTGGAGGCTGTGACGGAAGCATCGACATCGGGACGGACTGTCTATGCGAGGCTGGGCTTTGCGCAGGAGGGCCCGGAGATTGTGCTCGATGGGAGCTTCACTGATCGGGTGTGGCCTTCGAATGTTTTCATGCGGACTGGTAGATCTGGAATCGAGACAGGTAGAGGTAGAGGGAGGTAGGTAGATGAGTAGGAGAAAGCAGAGATCTATTTGGAAGAGCAATTCCATCCATCCACATCAGCGTCGTTCGGATTAACCCCCCTGTCAATTAGCCTTTCCTGATTCGGAAGACCGAGAACGCGACTTTGAAGCTCCGACGGGCCAGGTAGCCAGATAGCCTCACTGTACCGTACATCCTCAGTGTCGCTACCACGACCTCGACCACGACCACGACCACGACCATACATCATGAAGTTCTCAATACTTGCGCCCGGCCTTCTGGCATGCCTCGCGCCCATTGTATCTGCGACGGCCCTCACATATAAACTCGGTGCAAACGAGAGAGCGTGCTTCTTTTCTAATGTTGAGACTAAGGGCTCGAAGATTGCCTTCTACTTCGCTGTACGCACCAATCTCGCTCCCAGATGGGCCTGTGCATTGCGCTGATGGGTGGCAACTTCTAGGTCCAGACAGGAGGCTCCTTCGATGTCGACTACGAGGTCCTAGGGCCAATGCATAATGTCATCTTGGACGGGCAGAAAGAGAGGCAAGGCGATTTTGTGTTCACGGCGACGGAGGTTGGCGAATACAGCTTCTGCTTCAATAACAAGATGAGCACATATACGGAAAAGTTTGTGGACTTTGAGATTGCTGTGCGTACATCCGGGACCCGACTCTCCTGGATCTGATGGCTGACACAGGATCTCGCAGGTGGAGAACGAGGCAGCGCGCGCATCTCTACCGGCCAAGCAAGGCACATCTCCCGAGCAAACGTCGGTACTGGAGGAGTCTATCTTCAAGCTTTCCGGCCAACTCTCGACCATTACCAGAAACCAGAAGTACTTCCGCACCAGAGAGAACCGCAACTTCAGCACAGTCCGCAGCACCGAGAGGAGAATCTTCAACTTTAGCGTTATGGAGAGCATGATGATGGTGTGCATGGCTGGCCTGCAGGTCTTTATTGTCCGCTTCTTCTTCCAGGTACGTACTTCCTTCCCCTGTCGAGGTTCTGATTCACAACGGTATTGATTTATGGTGCCAGGGCGCGAGAAAGGGGTACGTGTGAGCTATCGGGTTTTGGGAAAGGCATGCATTCTGGAGCGATTGGGGGGCCATACGGCATGGAGTCTTGAAGATCTGTGTACTCTATAGGATGGCTACTGCGAACATGGAAATCAATTTCAATTTCCCTTACAAACGCTGAACCCTGATAGGGCCAGATCTCGTTTGCGATGGATAGGTAAAAAAAAAAAAAGCATTGTGTTTACATTCAATCTATGATCTACAGACAAGTAGGTCATTACTGAGTACATAGATCTCAGGTTAGCCAAGCTGGGCATTTGCACAGATAGGTATGGAATGGAGTACGGAGTGAATCCGATATAGCGCTAGTCTTCATACGTGTTAGCGTGGTTCTGAGCTGCTGTGACCCGCAACTCTCATCGTCGACAAGGCAGCCTTGGAAATCCGAGAACAACTTCTCCACCAACAAATCTGCTCGACATGGCCTCGATATCGGCATCTCTTGCGCGAGCACTTCCGACACCCAAATATACCGGTGAAGAGGAAGAGATTCCACAGCATGCGCAACAACGAGGACCGCGAATCGTTGGGCCTGGGACTCTCGATGACACACAGATTGTGCTGAAGGTTAGCCGCCATATGTTGGGAGTTTACGAGACCTGTGCTAATCGTGTCTGGCAGAGATCTGGACCTCCACCGTACGGAAAGCGAGCAGGATGGCGACCGCGAGGACAGGAGGACTTTGGGGACGGCGGAGCCTTCCCTGAGATACCCGTTGCGCAGTACCCGCTTGATATGGGCCGTAAGGCAGGCTCTGCCAGCAACGCGCTCGCTCTACAGGTGACAGCCGAAGGGAAAGTCAAATACGATGCCATTGCGCGGCAAGGACACAGCGACCAGCGCATAGTGCATGCGTCTTTCAAGGACCTCATCCCACTTCGGCAGCGTGCTGATGCCGGTGACATCAATCTGGACCGACCGAGCGAGGAGGAAGTCGCTGCGTCGACGCAGAGGACGAAAGATGCGCTCGCGAAGCTGGTGATGGGCGCGGTGGCCGCTCAGAAACCGAAGAACGTCAACGTCGGATCGAGGAAGGAGCCTACCTATGTTCGGTATACGCCTGCGAATCAGATGGGGGATAATACGCGGAAGAATGATCGCATCATGAAGATTGTGGAGAGGCAGCAAGATCCTATGGAGCCACCCAAATTCAAGCACAAGAAGATTCCTAGAGGACCGCCAAGTCCGCCGGCGCCAGTTATGCACTCGCCCCCCCGAAAATTGACAGCTGAGGATCAGGAAGCTTGGAAGATCCCACCACCTGTATCAAACTGGAAGAACCCCAAGGGTTACACTGTTCCGCTGGATAAGAGATTGGCTGCAGATGGAAGGGGGCTGCAGGATGTGACTATCAACGACAAATTTGCTCAATTTGCAGAAGCGCTATTTACGGCGGATAGACATGCCAGAGAGGAGGTCAAGCAGCGCGCGCATATGCAACAACGGTTAGCGGAGAAGGAGAAGGCCCAGAAGGAGGAACATCTCCGAATGCTGGCCCAGAAGGCTCGAGAAGAGAGAGCGGGCGTGGGATCCAGAAGACGAGATTCAAGAACGTCAAGATCAAGGTCCGGGAGCTACAGCGACTCTGGATCTTCAAGATCTGGAAGTGACGATGAGGAGGTCCGAGAGCGAGAGAAGATGCGTGCGGAGAGGCGGAGAGAAGAGGAGCGGAAACTGAGACAGTCACGGATGGGTGCCGAGCGACGGGTTCAGATGATGGCTCGGGAACAGAACCGAGATATCTCGGAGAAGGTTGCTCTGGGTCTTGCGAAACCGACGCAGTCCTCGGAAGGAATGTTCGATTCTCGCCTGTTCAATCGAACCAGTGGATTCGACTCGGGATTCAACGAAGATCAAGCCTACGACAAGCCTCTGTTCGCCGCTCAGGATGCTATCAGCAGCATCTATCGACCTCGTCAAACTATGGATGACGACGACGATGATGCTGCGGAGGCGGAGATGGGCAGGATTCAGAAGACCAATAGGTTCGGAGAGGCTCTTGGAAAAGGCACGTTCAAGGGCTCTGGAGATGTTGAGGTTAGTCCTGCCACCACCCAAGTATCGACCTGGAGCGAATGCTGACTTTTGTGGCGCAGGCACGAGAGGGGCCCGTACAGTTCGAGAAGGACACGGGAGATGTGTTTAACGTCGATGATTTCCTGAGCAAGGTTGGCGAGAGCTCGGGGAAGAGGCAGTATGGCTTGCAGGAAGACGAGGACCGCGCCGCGAAGCGAGCCAAGGTTGAGGAAGACGACGATTAATTGGGATTGGATCGCATGCCGACTGGGGAGCTTGTAGTTGGTTGTATAAGTAAGGAAAATAAAGCGATCGCTCTCAAGGTCGTACAAATATGTTTTCGAGGATCAATCTGCAGCGTTTGCCTGAAACTTTCGCGTCATCCAGAGATAGTACCCACTCACTCATTATCCGTCTATGGAATGCTCCCTTTTTTTTTTTTTTTGTTTTTTTTCCCCTTCTCGTTGCTATCTATCTATCTATCTATCTATCTATCATGTTGAATGAATGAATTGCGTGCTGGCAGTACTGTACTGACACCCTGTTATTTTTTTTTCTTTATTTTTTTTCTACTGACGGAAAGGCAATGACGGAATGAGTCTAGTCAAGTCAGGTATCGCTCGCTTTGCATTTTTATTGGCTGTTGACTTTTGACTGTTGACTGTTGATTGTTGAGTTCCTTCTACATACAGCTTACCTAGGTACCTACCTATCAGACGGAGCGGCGGAGTGGGGTGGGGTGGAGTGGAGTGGACTAGAGTGTGGCTTCTTCTTCTTCGTCTTTTTCCTCGTCTTCTTCATCTTCGCCTCTTGAAAATGATAGGAAAAGGGGATAAGAAGGAGGAAAGAAGGGGAAAAAGGAGAAAAGAAGAGGGCATTCTTCCCCCCGGACCCACAACCCCCGCCCCCCCTCTCTCTCCATATATATATATATATATATTTTGGCTATATTGAAATTTGGGATTTGGGATTGGGGTCTGTCACTATTACATCGTGTGAATGTGCGTAAGTAAACACATGTGACTTGATTCGACTTGACTCTGGCAACTTCTTCTTTCATATTCTCTTACTCCTTTCTTTCTTTCACCCCTTTGCGTGTTTTGTGTAGTTCCTGCCTGCTTCTTGGCTTTGGGGTGGTGGGATATAGTGAGGACGGATCATGTGTGATGAGGGCTGGTGAGGGTTGGGGCTTTTTTGGAAGGTTGGGTAGACGAAACTGCTGTGGGGATGGAAGGGGATGGGTTGGAATGGCGTTGCGGGCTTGTTGCTGGGTTTTAGTGGTAAATCCTTTCATGCTGGCTTCTCTCGTGTTGGAAGGTGTTCAGGAGTAGGGAGGAGAGGAGAGGAGAGGAGAGGAGAGGAGAGGAGAGGAGAAGAGAGGAGGAGAGGAGAAGAGAAGAGGAGAGGAGGAGGGGAGCTGTCTTCAAATCGTGTTATGGGGTTTGGGGAAAAGATGCATATGACTGACTGATGGGTTTTATTGCAGAGATTATTGTCTTTTTCCCTTCTGGGATGGCTGCTATGGGGGTTTACGGAGGGTTGGGAACTGGAGGTGAGTTGGTTTATCGATGAGGAGTCGGTTTAATGGTCAGTGCGCGCTGCCTGCTTACCTGCGGTCTCAATCCGGCTGACTTTCAGGCCTTCTTGACCACCACGGACTTCTACTCTAAGCACTGCACTCGATGAGAGTGCTACTCTGGCTAACTGATACTGCTTCGGTAAGGAGAACGGGGTACGCCCCCGCCTTATAAAGGCTGTAGAGGCCTGTTAGATAGATGCACGACGGAACAAGGACTTCAAGGCAACGCGGTGCGCTCCCGGAGGAACTTCTTTGACACTGCTATACAATATTAGGTATTTCTTTTGTAGTTTAGGCATTTTATTTTGGGTTTTTGTTCGCACTTGTAAGTGCTTTTCGGCTGACCCCGGTCCGGCCTTGACACTGGTCGTTATGCGACTCGCATAGCTACGCTATAAGCTAGCTATAGCAATCTATACTTGCTTGACTCTCTTTTGTGGTTTTCCTTTAACGAGAGATTCCTTTTTACTTGATCCATCCTATCCGTAAGGGAAAAGCGCAAACGATAATAGCTCTCGCTGCAATACTTTGAATTGCTGTCTAAGGCTTTCTTGTATGTAACTCTTTAGCTTAGCACGTCACCGTACCCCATGGGAAGTCCTAGGGCGGCAGGCTTCGCCTGCTACCCGCCCGACGTAAATAAATACAACAACAACAACTTACCTGCGGTCTCGGTAAAAGTCAGGGTAAGCAAGTGTCCCATTTCAGCTCGAGTTGAAAATAACTCAATAACGGATGAAGCTATAATATTCATACTGGTGACGTTCGTTGCATTGCGATTAATCTCGACTAATATACATTATTAATATTAAAAAAGGGAGGAGGGGGGGTAGGGGATGTTAAGAAACAACTGCTTGCATAAAACTTAAGAAGGCTATTATTAAAAATGAGATGCTAGAGAGACAGCGTCTTGCATTACACTCAGAGATGCTATTATTAAAAATGAAATGCTCAAAAGACAGCTGCATCTCGCTAATGACATTTGCTATAAAAAGCTTTCTTATTAATTCCTTTTTTTTAAATAACGCAACGAGCTACGATACTAAAAAACGGGTATTATACATTCTAGTCAGCAATCTCATCTAGTTGTTATTTTCGTTTTATTATGATTTTTAAGCTTTGGTAAAAAAAAAAAGAACAATTCATTACAACTTTCCGTCGCGAAGTTTTGATATTTTTACCCCGCGCCCCATTTTTAAATCTACTTTAAAAATCTAACCAATCGCTTTGGGAATTCAGCTCTAAGCTAATTTATCGAAAGGCTTAAAATAAGCGAACGCACGAAAAATTGTATGCTTTTAATAGAGCAGCGTTACCGCTATCTTTAAAAAGCTAGCTAATCCAATGAGCGTAAATAAGCGAATTTTTAAATACAGCGATGTGTGGTCCGGACAAAGAGTTTACCAACAATCTCTCGTTCAGCCGCGCCAAAATACTCTTAATGATATTAATAACAGATCCTAATATTTAGAAAGTATTTAATTGTTATTTTTATTTTTATTATAATTGTTAAGCTTTTGAGGGGAAAAAAACAATTCATCACAACTTTCCGTCGCGAAATTTTGATATTTTTACCCCGCGCCCCGTTTTCAATCTCCTTTAAGATCTAGCCAATCGCTTTGCGAATTCAGCTCTAAGCTAATTAATCCAGAGACTTAAAATAAGCGAACGTACGAAAAATTTTATGCTTTTAATAGAGCAGCGTTACCGCTATCTTTAAAGAGCTAGCTAATTAAATGAGCGTAAATAAGCAAATTTTTAAAAACAGCGATATATGGTCCGGAGAAAAAGTTTACCCAACAGTTTCTCGTTCAGCCGCGCCAAAGTACTTTCAATCGGAGATTAGTAGCAAATCTCCATATTTGGAAAGATCTCGATGGCATCGATTTCTGTATTTAATTTGTAATAGTATCAATCTTTTTGTTACCAAGTTATTCAATTTGCAAATCGGGGGCGGGTGAGGGGGGGAAACCTGATGTTTTTGAATTTGTATCGAAAGAAATCGAAAATCGTGATATGTTTCAAGAAACAAGTCAACAACGAACAGAGCTGTGATAATTATTTTGACTGTTACTGGGGGCCCGCAGGTAAACAGGCAGCGCACTGACTATTATGTGGCTGGGATGTTATCTTTCAAGCATCTGTCATTGAAGTTTTGCTAGGGGCTGTTAATAATAAGCAAGTTGTAAATAGTAGCAGTAAATACGGAAGCTGTCTGCGTTTACGGCTGCCAACTTGAGGTTCCGATAATGAATGCACTTTATGTTTTTGGTGTCATGCTGCTTGGTAATTATGAAATCGCCTGGGCTGCTCATCCCTGGGGAGAGGCCAGACCTTTCAACAGACCGGCTTTCCAGCTAGTTCGCGGGTGAGGACTGGAAGAGCTAGTACCGGTACTGCTGATGCTGGCTTGGATCCGATGAGGGAAAGGTGCTGGATAAGGTAGCTAAGCATTTCTATTACCTTGATCCTTGTATCTGGTACCAATGTTCTCTGCTGTGACGATTCCCAAGAATAACTGACAAAGCGGACGGCTTGAACTCGCCTGGCATGATTCGGACCTATGACTTGGGAGCTGGGCAGGCACGCTGTTGTTGGGATATCCATGATAGCTTTTTTTTGTGCTGGATGCTCCGGCGAACCCCCTTTCTGTGACCGTCACCGTCTACCGATATTCTTCTTCTACGGAGCGAACACGTTACAGGGTCGGTCACGTTCCGCTTGTTTACACTTTACCAAGCACTTGGGTCTCCGCGTCACTTGGGCATTATCACGGAGAGCGAGAGAAACCAATCAGCTTGCTACTTACGGAGGAAGTTGTCCCTCTTCCCGAGATCATAACCTGATGCATGTAGGAGAAGAAGCGCGAACCCCGTGAACCGTACGATAAATTTGATAAATTCGAGACATGTTTTCTTGTCCGCCTTCTCTGAGTTGATCTGCATCGTCTATCCTATCTATCCCTATGCGTCGTCGATCTTTGCAGACCAAGACAGAATCAATTGGAACATGGGACTAATAAAATACTTTTTCTTTTAGATGCTCCAAGTTAAATACAATTAGCCATGCTCATGACCTATATTTATTGGACTTGTGCTGGCTGACCTATCATGACCAACTAAACCGTGTAATACAATCTCCAATACCTTGCAGTAAAAAATTTACGATATTACCGATCGTGCGCGGGCCTGTTGACTCCATAAGATCGATGCACTGCCTCCCGTGAGTTCTAATTGGTGAAGATACTACGTATTAATTATAGCTCCAGCGTAATTCCGATACTACAATACTACATATCAATTATAGCTCCAGCGTAATTTCGAGGTCTGTCTAAACTCTAGACCTTTACGCAGCCGATGCACTGATCAGTTAAGAAATAGAGATTAAAAGTTATTAGCGTCTCAAGAACGCGTCACCTCTTGGTAGCAGGTTTCTCGAGCACACTCAAGCCGATATGCAGGTTAAAGTTGCAGGTTTGCTAAAAGCGCGCTTCGGAATTCCAACTTTTGGACAAGTCCGCATTAATCCAAAAGAGCGAAAACCAACTGATAGTTTGCAAGACTTGCAAATCACAGCGGGTTGGAGTCACTTCTCAACTTGATTAGATTTGCTCTACAATCGCTTGCGGCTTTACTAATTCTCGTAAAAGATATAGAAGCTCTCAGTTTTCAAGGTTAATTAGAGCTGAAAAGCACAAGAGCTTTTAGCATTCCAAGAGCTTTCAAAATCGTCTTCCCCAGCAACTCTTACCTGTTCATTACTTAATAGTGTTGCGCAAAGGCCACTTGCGGAGAAAAAACACTCTCTCTCTACCCGACGGACCGTTAGCACCTCCGTTCTGCGTTCGAAGATATCCAGGGGCGTTTCGCATGCGATCGCATGCGAAGGTTGCCCGCCTTGAGTGCTCTGGTTTCCGGCGACCACCAATTCGGGATCTGATGAATCGTCCCGAAATCCGGTGTTTGGAAGGCCTTCGTTCGTTCCTCTGCAATAATCCTGTTCATGTCTTACAGTCATCAACGATGATGAAATGAAGTATAAACTACTCACCCGTGCTCTGCTGCTTGCCCGGCACGTGGAGTGGACCATCTTGAAGTATGGTCAAGAGAGTAGTGGTTCGTCTGGGCACTCAAGTATATATGTATTGGTGTTGGCATCAACGCTGAGTCTTTACTTCGTACGGCTACGACTTCTTCGCCCACGTCTGGATTGAACCGACAAGGAGCAATACGTGATTGTCATCTCTTGGGGATTTTCTCTGGGACGCATACACGAGCACTTTGGTGGTTTGAGCCAAGGGGGTTTGCATACAGTCCCGTGGACAGGCAGATATCGCTATCTTCACTTTCGGTTGTGTTTATGCTTGACTTTGTTTCTCTTTTTCATAAGTAGCCATCTTGACTAACATACGTGCACTTACCCTCGGTACCGGGTGTGCTTGGGCGTACGTAAGTACATCTTATCTGCCGGGGCCCAGCTCTCCGGTATATTTTTCGCACAGCACAGCCCTCGCTAAACTCTCTGCGGATATAAGCCGTTATCAAATCGGTCTTCAGGGGTTTTGAAAAAAGAACCCAAGAAAGTTTAACCCAACCGAATTGCCTCCATATTGTCATCAGCCATCCTGAAAATGGACATACGCGGATTGCTATGCGAAATCAGTCAACGTCGATATAAGTACCTTCAGAATTCCCGCTTGGGTCGGATCGATGGACAGTAAGCTTCTTCACCAACTTTGCCTGATATAAACTCATAATATCCACTATCCACACTCTCTTTACACCTCATCACCCTTCTCACACTCATTGCTTGGTCCTAGACCTATCATCACCTTCTCTCCACTCTCTCCTCGATCTTTCCTCACTGTCTCACCAAACATGTTTCGCTCTCTCATCGCTCTCGCGGCTGTCTCCGCTGTGCTTGCGTGCCCGCAAGACAATTCGAACGTCCGCGTGGCTGGTCTCCAAAAACGTGCTGAGGAGGTTGCACCTTCACCATGGACCTATGAAGGGGCTAGGACTTGGGGGAACACTGCTGGAGTCAATGGCTGTTGGTCTTCCCCGTCAGACTTCGACTTTTTCGTACTGACATCAACTTCCAGCTGAGGTGTGCCAACTTGGCATGACTCAATCCCCTATAAATCTTCCGTTTGGTCAATACTCAAGAGTTCATATTCCTACGCTGAACTACACAACTGTCTCCGGCAAGCTCAGTAACTGGGGATACGGAATCCAATTCATGTTGAACAAGACCAATGGCCGAGACTACACCGGCAACCCAACTCTGACCGACGGTGAACAGGTCTACTACTTGCACTCATTCGTACGCCGCCCCTCACGATACTCTACCAGAAAGCATCTATTGACATAACTTCCCAGCACACACACACTCCGTCCGAACACCGCATCAACGGTGAGCGTAGCCACGGAGAATGTACGTCTACCCCGTCATCTACCGATCCAAGCCCCTGTTAACGTTTATGCAGTGCATCTCGTTCACGCGGACGCCGAGGGGAAGCCCAAAGGAGTCCTTGGTCTTCGCATCAACCCATCTGAGAACGAATCTCCCTTCATCGCCCAGGTTCTCGGATGCCCCGGTGTCGACTCCACCGCCGTGAAGTACGTGGAGAACATCGACATGGTCAAAGCCCTGGACGAGGTCGACCACGTCCGCAAGTTCTGGACCTACAAAGGCTCCCTGACGACTCCTCCTTGCGGCGAGGGCCTCCGATGGTGGGTTGCCGAAAACGTGTTGCAGGTCAGCGATACGCAGATGCAGAACCTGCTGGGCGTCAGCCTGTACAGTTCGCGCACGGAACAGAATGTCTGGCGCCACGACGTCAACCAGTTGTGAAGTCTTCTACGATCGATAGGGGGAGTTGGCGAAAAAGTAATGGATGGGTTAAATGGCGTCTCGGCTTCTCTGTATATAGCAGTACACCATGTTTTGCGCCGAGTGCTGGCACTTTGTACCTAATATTACGTGTTATTCATTTTGCTGCAATGGAACTGTTCTCTCTATGGATGCCGCGCGTATCCTTCAGAAATGTGAGTGACCCGAGTTCGTGAAATGACGAGGGGTCAGTGTTGGAAAGTCAGCTCCGACTGCCAAACCGGCCCAAGACCCTAGCTCATTTATTTCCAAGGCTACAGAGTTCGCAACAAAATACAGCTTGTACCACAAGTATTCGTGCGGCCAGTAAGTATATCTGTCCCCATGCGTTGATCTTTTCGAACTGGGGAAAGGGGTTGCAACGCTCTGTCTGATTGGCTATGCCTAAAATTAGTATATCTAATTCTATACTTGGGATGATTTATCGACATGGGGACAAAGTCGCTGGCCGCACGAGTACGTAGCTGTACATGAAATTTCAGGCCACTTTAAAACCCCGACCAAAGCAAGACCTATACAAACCTTATTATAGCGAACACTTATTACTTAGCCAATAGACGTTGCGCAACTTCTTAAACGGTCTTTGAGCGGTCTGCCTATACCGACGGGCCCTATTACTCTCTCCCCCCATGAATACATGTCGGAAGTATAATTTTGCAAGGCATCTTACCAAGGCTTAAACCAACCAACTTACGTAGTATAAGAATCCAGCCTTGAAAAGTATCTTTAGGTCAGTATTTAGTCCGTGCAGTGGAGCTGACAGGGCTTTGAGCCACTCAGAAACCACCGCTCTGTGATTTGTGGGCCTAAACTGGGTCCGACATGTATTCATGGGGAGAGAGAGTACAGTAAAAGGTAAAGCTCAGGCAGGCAATGTATATAGACTTTCGTTTATAGCTCTGTTTGTAGCTAGCTAGGGGGTGTATTGTTTACATAGCACACCTTCCCTATTCGTTAGAAAAGCCATGCGAAAATCCGACTATATCCAGAATGCGTATTCAATTGCAACACCCACTCCCCCCCTCCGTGATACCAAGACGAACAATGTAGCAAAGCAACACTGGGGACTACTTTTTTCGTTGAGTATATCGGCTAGGCTTCGCTAGGTTTTTGGTTTGGGTTCTGCATCGAGTACCTAGAAATTTCCGACTGGCGCTTGACACTTGATGGATTTCGTGTCTTCTTCCCCCAAGAAAGAAATTTTCCACGCATTTCCTTCCTCGTGCACGTCTTACATACTGCTTGGAGTAGTATCGCAGCGTGACTGTTGCATTATAGCCGATATTGGTATATGAGCAAGACTGGCTCTTTCACATCAAGGGAGTTCAGACGGCAATGTACGTAAACAATATGAGAAGATATAAAAACCAATGGAATGAAAAGAAGCAAACCCGCTTTGAATTGAGAGCCAGCTGCTATGCTTGTTGCACGTTGGATCTTTTCTACCCTAAAATGAACGGGGTACAGAAGCAACTGTAAATCAAAACAAGTCGAGATCATGTGGCCTTTCTCCGAAAAAAGAAGAAGGTAGGTAAGTATCTGAAAATAACTACCTTTATTTAGCGGGATCGCGAGAAGATGGGTTCCAGATATCTGCCGACTCGGATCACATATTGTCAACACGTGAATAGTCTTGGCTTCCAGCTGAGGCACTATACCGCATTATTGCTTCAGAGTAGAGGTAGAGAGAGCAGGGACAGAGAGAGGTAAGGGAGGATCAACGATTGAGACACACACGTGACTTGGTTTTGGAACACCGACGACGCCACCAAGTATACAGTCGCTTTCCGGTTCATGAGCATCTCATATTGAGCTCCATAATCCGTTTGGAAATGCTACAGTGCGTGCCTATTTTACGGATTTCCTTCGAGGCCTTTCAGCCTCATTCATATCCGCATCGATATCGGGCCAGACACCAGTTAGCCAAGCCACTCTATTGCCCTTGCCCTTTAGCACCGGGTCCGCGCAACTCTAGCCATGACCGATCATCACCGTGGCAAAAGGCCGAGACAAGAGAACGGAGAATCGCAAATAACCTCGATATCGACCATGTCAGAAGGGTCTTTCTCGGACTTTACAGGTCTGAATCTCGGCCGCCCTTGCTCGCGTGACGGAAGCTAACAATCAAAAAAAGCAGACTCAGATGCAGACTATCAACCTGAACAGCCTCCGAGAAGAGTCTACGGGGGTCCAGAGAAAGACTTCCCAAAGCCGCCAGACGCCCTCAATGAGATCGGCATCATTGAGCTTTTGGAGCAGGACAGCCGTCCGACGTTCATCATTGACATCAATGCCCCAGAGCAGGAGGTCAACGGACGCTTGACTTTCGTCCCCGTCTATTGCAACAAGAGCCTTCGGTTTTTCGACTCGATCAGGAACGTCGTTTGCGCCGAGACTTTCTATCCGAAGGTTTCCCAACCCATGCCGCAGCAGGTGTCAGTAGCAGCAACCGAGCGGAAATTCAAGGAGTGGGTGATGACTATGCCCAATTTCGATGGATCAAAGGATGGCTATCTCCCTCGACACCAGTTTCTCGGCATGTACTGGTCTAGCGCGACGTTGCGTCAGCAATGGAGGGTGGTAAGCGCCTCTCAGGTCCCATTCCAGAGAAAGAAAGCCCACGGAGCGCCTTGCATGACCCGTTCGCGGTCAAGTTCAAGATCCTCGGCGTATTCTAAAGCCAAACCGAGCTTCTATACCGAACGCTCTCTTTCAGATGAACGCTCTCCTTCAGAGTATTCGATGATCGACGATGAGTCGGAACTGTCGAAGCAGCTGGCCGACAGTGAGTCGAAGTTCAAGGTCCTCACAGAACTGAATCCTGTTGGGATGTACTATATTTCCCCCGACGGAGACATTCTATATTGTAATCCTGAATGTAAGAACACTATCATCGCAGGACGAATGAAGCTGTCTCTGATTATTCTAGGGTACGAGATTACCGGACACCCACGTGGTCTTGAAGGGGAGATGACTTTCATGAACTTTATTGCGGAGATCGATCATCCGGTCATCGCCAGGGAATGGGAATTACTCACTACAGTACGCGGAAAGAGAATATTCGAACTCCGTCTAAGGAAGCCCTGGATTGATGAAAGTGGAAACGCTCGGCAGAAATGGATCATAGCATCGTGCGACCAAGAATTTGATACTGATGGAACCACCATCAAGACCATCATGGGCTGCATGTGAGTATGTTCCTGGTGGACTGATTGTGCTGCGCTGACAACATCAGAACGGACATCAGTGCCCAAAAGCATGCTCAAGAGGAACTTTTGATCCGCGCCAACCTCACTCAAGAGCTTGCCAATACGACCCAAGAAGCGGCCCACCATGCCGAAAAGTTCCAACTTATGGCAGAACTGGCTCCTTGTGGTAAGCGTGGCTAACAATCTCTTGAAGGGGAGCTAATCATGCGCTAGGAATGTTCACACTCGATCCTGAAGGGACGATAACGTGGGCTAACTCTCAATGTGAGTATTATCTCGGCCGATTTAGAAAGTTACATTCAATTTTCCTTTCACCCAGTATGCTAATCTGGTTTCTCAAGGTTACGAGATGACTGGACACTCAAGAGACCCTGATGCTCACTTCCCAATGTCCATTCTCAGTTGCATCGAGCATCAAGATCGTGAAGCTTTTAAAGACGAATGGAAGAAGTTGACACTGACCAAAGAGGAAGTGTCTATGGAGTATGTTACGACTCTGTCATTCATATTTTTTTTGTAGTTCCCACTGCCTTGCCGGATTTTGCATGCTTACTTCGACACAGGTTGCGCCTCAAGAGACCATGGATTCAACAAGAAAGCAATGATTCTGTCGAGTCTGTGCGAGGTTAGTCTTCTGGCAGTAGCCCGAATTTTTTTCCAATGGCTCAGGGACAGTTTACCTGCGAGATTGCTCCTGAGACATACGGAATCATCGTTTGCTGATATCCCGCTCTTCGGCAGATACACGATGGATTTTGTTTCTCGCTGTTCCTCAGCTAGATGACGACGGAATTCTCACCAGTGTACTTGGCTGGTAGGTCACAAACGGGGAAGATTGCCTTCTCCTTCTCCTATCCTTCTCCCGAAACACTCGCAAACAGGCAATTGCTGACTCGCCCGAATGCTTCTAGCACTACTGATATCTCCGGATTCAAGTTTGCAGAGCATATACAGATGGTCAGCAGAGTTGAGGCAGAAGAAGCAAGGCGACACCAAGAGACATTTATGTAAGACAATGGGGGACTACATTTTTCTCTTTTTATTCAATCTCAGGATCTGTTTCCGAGGCATCGTCACATCTCTTCCCGAAACATCCGAAAATCAAAATACTGACTTCCTTGTGATCTAGTGACATGACATCGCAAGTTCTATACATCCGTGATGTTCGAGTATTTCGCTGACCAATCCTTGAGGCACGAGATGCGTAATCCCCTTAGTGCAATTATGCTAAGTGCTGATGGTATCGCAAACTCGATCATCGGCTACCAGGCTCAAGGAGGAAGGACTCCAGTGATATCCCAGGAGTTACTTGAAGGCAATCTTGAAGCTGCTCAGACCATCGTTCTTTGTGCTCAGCATCAGAAAAGAATCATTGACGACGTCTTGACTACGTCCAAATTGAATTCTTCTCTCCTCCATGTTACGCCCGTTTCGGTTCATGTAGGAAACCTGGGGCTCTCCAATGCATTTGGCTAATCTGACGTGCAGGTCGAAACTACCGTCCGAAGAACCTTGAAGATGTTTGAGAGGGAACTGGTCGCGGACAATATTCAGATGTCCTTCGATGTTGAGCCCTCCTACCACGCCGTGAACGTCGATTTCGTTTTTTGCGATCCTGTCCGGGTGACCCAGATATTCATCAATCTACTAACCAATGTCGGGCTTCCTCCCGTAACACATTCCATCTCGTGCTAACCGAGCCCAGGCTATTAAGTTCACTCGGTCCGAGCCATTGAGATCGATTTCTGTAAGCCTTGGTGCGTCTGTCATTGAGCCTCCGAAGGATGCCGTACCGGGAATCCGTTGGTTCCCGTCAAAGGACTCAAGCTCTGTGCAAGACTTGACTCTCCGACCTGATTGGGGAACTGGGCAGCAAATTTACCTTTACTTCACTGTGAAGGATACTGGGAGGGGACTCAGCGAGCAAGAAAAAAACCGACTATTTCACCGATTCAGTCAGGCCAGTCCCAAGACACACATCAAATATGGTGGCTCGGGGCTGGGCCTGTTCATCTCTAGAGAGTTAACCGAGCTTCAAGGTGGCGAGATCGGAGTAGATTCAACCGAGGGCGCGGGCAGTGAGTCTCTCGCCGCCTGCCTTATTATGAATGCTGCTAACCAATCGAAGGCACATTCGCTTTCTATATCAAGGCTCGTAGATCGGTTGATCTGACTACGAATCCCTTGAATGTTTCTACGTCTAAGTTGGATCTTAGTAAAACTGATGGGAGCACATCTCCACGCACGTCCAAATTCGAACGGAAGTACCACATTCTACTCGTAGAAGACAATCTTGTAAACCAAAAAGTACTCAGCAAGCAGCTTCGAAATGCCGGCTGCGTCGTGCATATCGCCAACCACGGCGTAGAGGCCCTCGATTTCCTTGCGAGGACCTCACTTTGGACCGACTGCAGCAAATCGGGTATCGGCATCATCTTGACTCTCGTACTCATGGACCTCGAAATGCCGGTGATGGATGGACTCCAGTGTACTCGTCGCATTCGTGACTTGGAGCGAGAGGGCAAGGTTGACGGCCACGTCCCGATTATCGCCGTCTCTGCGAATACCCGCGTCGAGCAACTGGACATGGCCATCCAGGCCGGGATGGATGATGTCGTCGCCAAACCTTTCCAGATCCCCGAACTGATGCAGAAGATGGATCGACTCCTGGCGACGAGGCTCGAGTCGCTACAAAGGCCATGAGCGTGACATAGCATCGATACTCTCAATCACTTTTCTGCCTCCTTCTCACGATACCAAAACACTAGGCGAACTTTGAGCGTGGACTCGGTGCCAGCAGGGGGGCGATTGACCCAAGGCCTCGAGGAGTCCATAAGGAATAGGGAAGGATGGATCCCCATGCACTGGAGATCTTTCACTACTTATTGCTGGTACGACGTAACCGTGAGCCATCTAAACGATGGCCGCAAATTGGTCCAAAGATGCAATAATAGTATTTATTGACTAGATCTCGCCTCGACTCGCCTCGCACCCGCTGAAAAAACAAGAGGGGTAATTTTCCTACCTATCTCATCTGAGTCAGGGGCACCGGGAAATGCCGCGCGCGCTTCCTTTTCCTAACCGAGCAACCTCGGCAGTCGGAAAAAGGAATATATGTTATTGAATTGACAGCGGGGTCCGTGAACGTCGTCTGTGTCTGTGTCTGTGCTCTCTTCTCATTTCTGCAAAGGCCGAGCCCCTGTCGCGATTCAAGGATTTACTCATGGATTTACTCATGGATTTATGGACCTCCGGGCGTGGCGGAATGAATGCTAGATGACGCCAAGTAGGCTATATATTGTCCAAGTGTTGGCGAAATGGTCGAGAGACATAGGGGAGGGGGTGGGGGTGGGTTGGAGGAGATGGACTGGACTGGATTGTATTGGGCATTGGGCATTGGACATTGGACTTGACCTTCGATATAGGATTTGATATTGGACAATGGATTGGACACCTATTTGATGGGAGATGGGTTTGGATTGGATTGAGCAATAGCGGCGGCTGGTTGTTCAAGCTGGGCCTTTGACGCGGTGAGTGGTCCTTGGGAGAGGAGACTTGTGCTTCCCCAGGATCCAAGCAAGCGCCTCCGATGGCAACGGCAACAGCTCCCTTATCGTGGTAATAACCCAAAGTACAACGTATAATCACAATCCCAATCACAATCCCAATCACAATCCCAATCACAATCACAACCTACTAGAACAATACAATACATTACAAGGCAATACAAGACTATATACTACGTAATTCAAAATAGGATGACCAGGATTAACCTTTTGAGCTTCGTCGCCATGCCCCCGATCTACGGCCGCCCCGATCTACCAGGACTTACTACGTCGCAGGCGTAAGTATTACCCCTCGAGGGTAGGGAAAACAGGGGGTTTAAAGTGGAAACTAAACTTTTAAGGCACCCTCGAGGGGTAATACTTAGGCCTGTACCGTGGTACTACGTACTACTCTACTACCGTACCTACTACCTACCTCCAACCTCCGTACATGCTGGCGCGATTACCGTTTAATATGATACGCTGTGCCAATTCCTGCTCAAACCTTCAATACCCCAAGCCCTGTTGCTGCCGCCGCTGATCTCCACCTTCAAGATGTCTCTGCATCTTCGTAAGCTTTCGCAATTTTCTTATTGTCCACGCTGAACCCGTCGTCCGTTTTGGTCGCGTACAATAATAAACTGGCTTTCCGGCGGTCCATGCCCGCCCTTTTACGTCTCCGCTCCTCGCTCAGTTTCTTTCATTCACATCATCTCAATCGATAGACAAGGCCGTCCACTAAATGAAGCTCCCGGCGGCGCACTCGTGGGAGAAAGCCCCGACGGACTGGGACGAAAAGAGGTATATGCTGCTTCGCAGCACCGCAGTCTCCATCTCGATCCTCCGTCGTCGCAGATCTCCCGTGCTGTTCGGCACTACGTTATTACTAGTCGTCATACTTTACATACAGCATTTTAAGCCGTTCGCGCCGCCGCCGAGAAACGCGCATCCGGTCGGGAAAGGGGCATTCGATGGGAACTGGAACTACACGCGAGATGCGCGAAACCTGATGCTGAGTGAAGCTCAGTGTAAACAGGCGTTTCCGAACTTCTATCACGAGATCGATCGCGCGGTCGAGGATCGCAGGAGTAATCATGTCACGTTAAAGGAAACGGACGAGATGTCTATGGGAGAGGGCTACATCCGGGCTATGATTTACGACCAGCAGGTACCGTCCCCTCCCCCCTGAGCTACCCCCATCCCAAGAATTCTCAGCCGGCGCAGATACTAAGAGATGAATAGCTGTATGTTATCAACGCAGCAGGGGACGTCAATACCCGTGGTCTTGCCTCTCTTCACGCCCTCCACCGAGCCCTGCTCACATCCCCTGAACCTCTACCGAACATCGAATTCACCATGCTGGTGGCCGACATCGCCGAGTCCGCGTCCCCGCGGTGGGCATACTCGCGCGAGAAATTCATGACGTCTCTCTGGCTCATGCCGGACTTCGGATACTGGTCCTGGCCGGAACCCAAGATCGGCTCCTACGGCGAGGTGCAGATGCGGGCGGAGCAGATGGACGCCAAGGTGCCCTGGTCCCGGAAAATCGACAAGCTGATCTGGAGGGGGGCCAGCATGGATCTGCTCGTCAGGCAGCAGCTGGTGAACGCCAGCGAGGGGAAGGACTGGGCCGATGTCAAGATCATGGTGTGGGACGACGACGCGCAGGGCAAGACGCACGACGCCTTGAAGATGGACGAGCACTGCCAGTACAAATTCGTCGCGCACACCGAAGGCGTCAGCTACTCGGCGCGCCTGCAGAACCTGCAGAACTGCCGGAGCGTGATCGTCGCGCACAAGCTGAAGTGGCTGCAGCATCACCACCACCTGATGAAGAGCTCCGGGCCGGAGCAGAACTTTGTCGAGGTGGCGAGCGACTTCTCGAATCTGGACTCGGTGATGCAGGGCCTGCTGGGGAAGAAGGAGAGCGGCGAGCTGAACGCGGAGAAGATTGCCGAGAATAACGTCAAGACGTTCCGGGAGCGGTATCTGACGCCTGCGGCGGAGGTGTGCTACTGGCGGCAGCTCGTGAGGGGCTGGGCGTCGGTGAGCTTCGAGCCGGAGTTCTTCAAGGGGAATACGGGCCAGAAGGAGGAGTGGAGGGGACTGCCTGTCGAGAGCTTCATGCTGGAGCGGAGGATGGAGTGGGACTATCACTGATTAAGGGAAGGGAAGGGGAGGGGAGGGGAGGATCTGCTGCGAGCGATGGATAAGGGATGTGGTAATGTAGAAAAGGGAATATAGAAGGAACAGTCGGGTAGCCTACGGGCATGAAGTATATAGGTACGGATAGAGGGTTTTAAGGGTCGTCAGCGGGCGTTATTGGAAAGGGAGTATGTACATAATACAAGCGAGGCATGATGTCCAATGTCAATAACACCATCTGATAAAAAGCAAGAATGCGGGGTGAGCCGGCGTACGGAATAATGCATGTCCGTACTATCCGTGATAGCATACTTGTCTTACCTTGTCTTAACTTGTCTCATAACGATTGTCGCACCGTGATCAGCGAACCTCCTAGCGAAGCTATCAGGTTTTTTCCTTACATGCGTAGCGAATAGTTCAGGATAGCTTATATTATCTCGGGTCTTTGATCCCGCGGTATCGCAGCTTTAATATATTGTAATGCTTTTTGTTAACGGCGATTCGTTACTGCTAGTTTAAGTGTTGCGGTCCCCTTCTATTACGATTGATTATTAGCAGCTCGACACTGTCTTTCCGACTATTCAATTAGGTATTTGATTAAGATCTTTTTTCTTTTCTTTTCGTTCGGCTTTTTATATCCTTAATCGATTGTAGTTGGAGGCGTCTTCGAGCTAGCATCTGTTAGAAGTTCTTTCACCATATAGCAAGAGTTTTCGAAGAGCTAAGCCGCTATCGTATGTACTTTTGATTATGTGACGTTTTTGTATAATCGATCGTAGATACCGCTTTTTCGATGTCGAGAAAAGATGGAATTCAATCGTCGAATAAATTTATTCGGCTAATCGGTAATATCGAGTTCGAGTTATACGTAAAAGAATATATTGTAATACTTATTTCGTATTTCTAATCGCTGTTCGTTCCGTTAGCAGATACGATAAATACGGCTAGCATTAAAATGCTTCGCCTCGATTATCATTTATAAAGAAAAAATATGCGTTATTTAATCGGCTTTACGAATATTATTAAGAATATCGCAAGTTCGTAGCTAACGCCACGTACAAGCTCAGAAATCCGTCTTCGCTGGCCGGATTCATATGAGTAAGGATCCTGGAAGGCATGGAAGAAGTATACTACAAATAAACATTGAGGCTCTTTCTTGTCACGCTTGCGGACAAGTCTCGGCCCGCTCGGACATTAACGCGTCGTCGGCTGGAAAATCCCCAGCTCCGGTCTGTCTCTCATTCCCCTCTACCTCAACTGTCGCTATCGCAACCACCATCTCAACCTCGTCATCCACCAGTCACTATGCCACCTACGATAGACGAGTCAATTGAGTACGAACGAGACGATAGCCCGCGCGAACTTCCCATGAAGTTCCCATCCGATCTTGACTCCCCAAGTCCTCAACAGTCCTTGCATAACACCCCCCCTGCTCCCGCCGGCCAAGCTCATCAACATCGTGTTGCAGTTGGTACACAGCTCAGTTCTTTGGCCGCCCTTCCTATCGTCCGACAAATCCCATGGAAAGATGGTCAAGCCCTGCCGGGTCTCAAGTCAATTGATGATGAGCGACCCCATATCCGCGGCGCGTTGTTGCTTACCATGGTAGGTTTAATTTCGCGTCCAGTTTGATGCCTGCAAAGATGCAAAGACGAGGTGGGGCTACTACAGTACTTACTGACAAACCCATAGCGTGGTGAGATAGCACAGAAGGAATGTGAGAAATGTGCCAGAGGCTCGGGTCGGTTCAAGCACTGTATCTACCTCGATGACATGTTTCAAGGAGCTTGTGCGACTTGTTATTATTCGTCGAGAGGCGCTTACTGCACCTTGCGTATGGAGAAAGAAGGTCAGGGCCCTTTCATCTGGCGTGCCAGACAACGCTGACTCTAGAGATCTAGCTGCTCTTGGAGCCTCGAAGCCCACAAAAAGCTCTACCAAGTCCTCCGCACTAAATGACACCATGCGTGTTCAGTCGGAGCCATCTCTCAAGCGCAAACGTATATCGAACGGTAACCCAATAAACTACAAGAAACAACCTCGATTGGCATACAACCTCGAAGATGTCGAGAGCCGCTATGATGCCGCCCCAGTCCCTCGTCCTTCCAAATCCGTCCCTTACGACAAGTCATTTGACGACGACCCAGCGGCTTTGTTGGCTTTGCTGTACAAGCAACAACAAAGACAACTGCAAGCTAATGGTTCGGCCAAGAGACACCAAGTTCAAGATAACGAGGACGAGGATGGTGTGATGCTGAACGCCAACGCCTATAAGGGGCCTCGCGGAGGTCACAGGGAAGAAGGCCCCGAGAAACCATACTCGCCAGCTGTCGGAGTATGTATACATGATTTACTCCTATTTTTCGATCTTTCAAGCTTCGGCGTTGACGAATCTCCCTTCGGGTCTAAGATCCCAAGAGATTCCCAGATCCCAAAAATTTGCAAAATTCAGTGCTGACTTTCATCAAGTACTCCGGACCATCATTTGACATGCCCAACAGCAGAATTGCTTCCCAGGACCACCGCCGACCCGAAGCCGCTGTTGCGCTCATTGATACATTTCCTCGTAGGAAGCAAAAGCAACTTTACAGTGTGATCGGTGGCCTCGAGAGCGGCATCCGCAGCCAACGCCAACAAACCGAAAATCTTGAGAATCAGCTTGAAACCCTCAAGGAGATTCTCGGCATTGGCGAAGATGCTGGTTTTGTCTGACTACATTGCTCTTGGTATTTTGCCGCTTTTTCTCGCAGATTATGAATGATTAAATACCCACGGAGAAATGGCATGGAGTCCTGGAGTACTATCACTGGGTCACGTCTCAAAAAGGATACTGGACGCATGGTTGGCGCATATGGTTGGCAATCGATAGCCGACGCTCACGATTTCTAGATTTAGAGGATGATTGACGAAGCACCAAGATGCCGGAGGGGTGGCGAAATGTTCCCCAGAACGATTGAAAGTTGCATACAGTGCGTGTTCCAACGGAAATGGACAATCTCCTGCATTCTGTTTGCTGTCTTGCCGTTTGACTGTGACTGCTTTTGCTTGCTTGCTGTCTTCTCTCGCCTTTAAAACCCACTTCGGACCCCCAACCTTCCTGTTCTTTTCTTCTATATTCCAGGTTTTCGGTGCGCAATGTCATCACCCACCGCCAAGGGCCCTGCTTTACATCTATTATTGCTTTACATCTATCAGAATCCAGTGGGAAGTGTCGCGATCCGGCCCGTGACTCCACCGTCTCAAATTTCCATGCATTCATTCCTGCATGTATGTCTTAGCCTCACATCTACAACCGCGCGCGGCGCTCAAAATCGTTTCGATCTGCGGAAGAAACTGTTCGGTCTATCCGAATCGATTCCCAGCGATGCCCCGTACAGCGAGCTAGCTAGACCTGTCCTACACGGGCAGCAGGCAGCAAGCAGAGCAAGCCGTATTCTGTTTTTGTTTCGATCATCGTTTCTTCAAAAGTGCTATCTGTAATGGAGGCTAGCCGCTTTTTTGATTTCGCGTATCAATCGAGAAGGACCTGTCTGTGTCCGTCCGTATGGGTGCGAGGCGAATTAAAGTAGTGCTCGATTATTTAAGTATTGGGGCCTGATTGAGGCCGAGATGAGAAGCTGATTGTTTTTTCTGTCTCTGCTTCTGCCTCTGCCTGTGCCTCTGCCTGTGCCTAGGTACAGGATGTCGGAGAAAGAAAGGAAAGTAAAGTGCTTCCTTCTTTGGGTATTATATACAACCTTTTTCCTCCCCCCGCCCCTTCATTCTTGATCCATCGAGAAGATTTCTTCTTGCTAGCTCTGCCGCCTTTTTCTTTCTCCCCTGATGTACGTTTTTGGTCTGGATATTTCGACATGTCAATCTTCAAGTCACATCCTGCAAGAAAAGAAGAAAAAATTATATTTTCCGGGTTATCAAGCAGAGAGTTACCAATGATACGTGCGCCACTCCCTCCCTCATCTGGGTGCTTGCTGATCCTCGCTGCGGCTTCGTTCTGCCTTTTTGGCGTGGGGGGTTTTCTGGATTGTGGATTCCTGTTCGTTCGTTTGTTTGGGATTATCCAGAGAGGAGGACATGAGGGCCATGCTACGCCTGCTTGTTTGATTACTTTTATGCGAGGATGTATATCTAGGGAGTATTTTGATATTTTGATTTATTTACAATTTTGACTGTTTTTTTTTTCTTTCTCCCTAGTATGTCTTCTCTCTCTCTCGTTCGTTGCGACTGGCAAGTTGCTGATATCAGTATTGGTCTGGTTTGGATTGGTTCGGACCATGTGCCCATCGGTGCTGCCGTATGTGCCCGCTGGCGGGGCTCTTTCGTATGCCCAAACCAAAACTATCTCTATGTGCTTTTGTTATGTTTTTGTTCTTGGGGTATGTAGATGGAAATGAGGGGCTTTCTTTGAGGGAGTGAGTGACCACTTGATGGATGGATGAAGATGGATGAAGATATCTATACTAGAGAGGCAATACCTAGAGTGCTAACGCCTCGGGGCGCGTCACACCTCCTGGGAAACTCCACCGGCTTCGAAGACAGCATCGATGTTGGCCGCATGGCGGCATGAAGTGTGTGGACGAGCCGTATAATGCAGGGTATTTTGATGAAGGGTATTTTGGTTACGATGCGTTATCTGGGGGCCGGCGAGTGTGGTGTAGGAGCGAATTGCTGGGTATTTGTGGATGGGGATGAGGTTAACCAAAAAAAGAAAAACCGGTTTTATATTAATAGTCAACCGAGAGCCCACAGGTTTTCAGTCAGCGTACTGAATGTCAGGTTATCAGATGTGGCCATCTCTCTGGAAGTGCTTCTGATTTGGACGCTTAGCTGTTGCCCAGTTGTCACCGCATGGCTTCTATCGATCTGCTTCTATGGCAATTGAGCTCTCTCAGGGTGAGACGAAAGAGGTTTTCTTGATCAAGGTCGTCCATCACTTTGCCGAATGGAGATGGTACGTAAGTAAGTAAGATTTGACGTTCGCGGTCGAGGTTTTGCATACCGTATTGGCTGACAGACACCTTTGGGAGGTAAGGCACAGAGGACGGGAGCCGATGATTTTACCTTAAGGTGAGCTTCTGCCGTTGAGTTGGCCTGCGAGCCTTTAAACGGCGACCCACTTTAGAGATCCATTACTCAGGGTTGCAGTCTTCGGAGTGTGTTCTCCAACACACACACACACACACACACACACATATATATACATAGCTTGAATAAATACTCGCTGCAGCGACACTGCGACAGCTAGATATTTTATGCTTGCCTGGATATATACCGGGCACGATTTCGCAATAGCTCACGGCCGAATCACCGAGCTATAAGGACTAGACAGCAAGAAGCTCGAGACTTCTCGGGGAAATTGCTTTCTCATTGCGTCCTCTCTGCGTCGGGAAGGGTATCATCTTGTTCACCTCTTAACGGTATCCGAATTTTAGTTATTTATTTTCTTGGTAAAATAGATTCATCTGCTCCTTCCTCACGACACTTTCAACTTACAACACAATAGCGTTGGCTATCAAACTCCGTCAAACAGTTGGAGTATTGAAGCAACATCTATTCTCGATTCGAGCGTTATAATCATAGACATTGTTCGCTTTTCGATCAGTGAATCAGCCATGGCATTGTCACTCTTTTTTTTTCTTTTTTTTTTCTATTTCTTGGCTCGGATATTCACTATTTACTATATTGCCAAACTCGGACGAGCTCTCCGAATTAGGCGAGATTTTTTTCCCTATTGTCACCATCACAGAGACCCACAGCTCAGATGGTATTGTAGTCGATTCCTATTGTCGTCCGTTAGCCTGCTTTCCCTTCTCTCTCTGACTACAAATCTCTCCTCCTCCTCTTATTCTCTTTCCCTTCCTTCTCTCCACTTCAACCACACACAGTACCAGTGACTTGTCGCGAGACTTCCACACAATCCACTCGCACCACACAACACCAAAAAGCAAAGACTTGCAACCACGCCAGCAGCAATGGCTTTCTACTACACCACCACCCCGTTCGCCGCCCAGGGCGTCGTCGACCCCATGGACACGACAGAGGACTACCCCGGCTTCGGCCATCTCGCCCAAGCAGGTGACTGGCAAAGGGCCTGGTACGTTTCACCTCCCACTCCCACTCCCACTCCCATTCTCACTCTCACTCTCACTCTCACTCTCACTCTCACTCTCACTCCCACTCCCACTCCCACTCCCCTTTTCCGACTCCACCCCCCACCCCCCCAAAAAGGCACCAGTCTCCTAACCGAGCAAGCAGGAAGTACCTCCACGTCTTTATCCCCATGCTCAGAGCACGTGGCGAGGCTCTCCCTCCCACTCCAATCTGGGCCCAGCCTCCTTTCGGAACTATCCCCTCGCCATACTGGCAACAGTGGAAGGAGGACTACCACTACCACTACCAGCACCAGCAGCAGCAGCAATACCAGCAGTACCAGCAGTACCAGCAGTACCAGCAGTACAAGCAGCAGCAACAGCAGCAACAGCAGCAACAGCAACAATATCACTACCAGTCCGTCGTCCCACCACCAGTTCCTCGCTCGCCCCCGGCGCTCCTCTCTCGCATCGGCCCGGCGGCGCCGGCACCCTCGTCTTCCGTCCTCCCGGCTCCGCCTCCTCGCGCTCCTCGCTCGCCTCCCGCCCTGATGGCCCGCATGGGTCCGAGGCCTGCCGCCCGCGCATTCGACAGCTCTACCTTCGATGTCGTCTTGCCGGGGTCCAAGTAGTGGGGGTTTGTTTATATCTGGTATGCGTGCAGGGGAGTCTTGGTATCTGTGTGTGTGTGTGTGTGTGTGTGTGTTTCCGGTTTGAACAGGGGAAGGGGGAAATTTGGAGTTTTGGCCAGTGTCCGCGGCTTGGGGTTTGGGGTTTGGGGTTTCGATGTAGAGGGGGGGGAGACTTATTGTGCTCGAATGGATCTGTGTTCTCAACTCGCTTGATTCTTGAATTCCCGTCGGATTGTGATTTGTATCCTTTTATTTCGTGATATACATATATGTATATACATATAACCTTGTAGGCGTTGCTTGACGAATAGAGATCCCTTATCTTAGCGGAAACTTGACTGTATCTCGGCTTTCGAAAAGTTGCCAAAGCTGGATTTCCTTGCCTGAAGAAGAAAGCCACGGTGGTGAAAGCCGTGTGTGTTTGAAAGGGATGATGTTGTTTTGTTGGACACGGCGTAGGAAAATGGAGAAAAAATTGCCCCCCCCTCCCCCAAAAAAAACACGGCTGGAAACTTACAAAGAGGTGCCCATTTATGAACCCAATTGAATGGGTCTTTCGCTAGCTTGTAATCTACGTAATATAATATCTGACCTCAGCGGACCTCAACTGATGATTTTTTTTCCCCTAAACGACCAAGCAGCTCTGTTCCCGCCAATTGGTGAAAGAATATCAAGTCTGTCAATAAATTTTCTAAACCTTTTTTTTTTTCCAATTCACCCTCCGGCTTTAATAGTGGGAGTTGGTTTCACAACTTCAGGACCCACGGCACCGTTCCTGTCTCGAAAAAATTTGGGTTCAAGCTTAAACAAGACATAACGTAAATTTCGGTGTAAGAAATGAAGAAAGAGGAGAGGGGGGCTTTAGAAAGTACTTATTATGCTCGAAAAGATCTGTTTCCTGATTCATTTGATTTCCGCTGAAGAGTATGTCACACACCCATATCGCATAAAGGGACGAGTCCATCGCGTCGATGGATGAATTAAAGCCTTGCTTTAAAGCTTAGGGTAGCTTGTAATTGTTATTATCAAGACTCAGCATTGAACTGCACTGCGGTCTGAAGTTTTTACCAAGATAGGATTGGCTGTCTTGTAGGAGAGCAATAGATATGACCAGATATATATATATAATAGCGCCGTTGAGTCAATTATATGATTCTCGGAAATTAATTTGCTGATTGAAGCAGAGTGGATAGAATTGAAATGTTGTCTTGCGTGATACTCTGGCCCGGAAACCATGTACCTCGACACCTCATATCAAAGACCGTCGTAATGTTATATTTTTTCGCAAGAAGGGGAGGGGAGAGAAGGCACAGAACGCTGCTTGTTCATCAGCAAGTCTCATTGACAAAATTCCGAGTCCATCGGGAATCGAGTGATTCGAGTTCACGCAGAAATGCTAGCAACGCCCGTGATACATACAGCCTTTTGGCGGCGTTTAAATAGGGTCGTTTCGATAAGAGGTGTAAAAGCGAAAGGACTTCGGCTGTCGTCGTTGTTGTTATTTTCTTACACAGCAAATCGAGACGGGTTTTGTCGGCAAGAAGTATGCTGAGCGTGTAGGAAAAGAAACTGCTACGCTTGGGGACCTTTGGCAGACTTTGGTACTCTACTGTAAGGAATATTGTGATGCTGCACGAAACAAAGCGTGAAGTAAGGGTGAGTTTCTCAGAATGTTGGTTATCTTGAGGTCTCGTTGAAAGAAGGTTTTGTAATTGTTCGGTTAGGCTTAGCGAGGTAGTCTATTCTTGGATCCGAATTTAGATACTCAACAGGGATAGCCATTGCAACCATTGATGGCTTCAAAATTTGCGAGATTTCAAAGTACCCGTGGCACCGAGCACCAACAGAGACTTGATGAGATACACAATTAATCGTTATCCTCAAGTGTTCGGGCAGGCCCCGAGCTAACCTCAAATGCCGACCACTGCCAAACCCCTGATGTCGATCCCTTTATCTAGCTTCAAACTAGCAAAGTGTAGTAGCGCAACCGACGTCGACCACTACTCGTGTGTCGAGCTTTTCAATCCCCAATATATCCAAACCCCAGTCCCATTGTCTGACAACTCCCTTCCATGTACATTCGGTCAACGGAGATCTTCCTCCACACCTCCCCGTCTCGCTGCAGCACGTACACTTCTTCGAGTACGAGGCCTAGCCACTGGCCCCAGACGACCTTCACCCGTGCTTTCTTTACCGCAGCCATAGTCCAAGCAGCCATCACGGAAGTCCTCGAAAGGTAGATAGAACCATATATTTCGCAGCTCTCTCCCCCCCATCCCATCGTCACCCCTCACATCCCCACCCAATACGATAAGCTGATTACGGCACTTGCAGTATCTCCAACCCATCGCAAGGTAACATTGATGCTGATGTTTCCCTGTCTGTTTTCCCCATCTAACCTTGCGTGCTTTCGTCGCCTGATGGCAATCTATCTTTGTTACAAGGAATGAATGTACAAACACTAGCGTAACCGCAACCCATGGCTAAATTTAACAAAGTTGAACCGCGCAAAAACCACTATCGATAACATGTGCTGCATCAGCTTGATGATGGCGCTGCAGAGAATCCTGAGTGGAAAAAAACAAAAAGAAAAAAAAAAACTCATAACTCGCACAGTAACCAAGCAAGCAATATAATAGCACCTAGCCATCTCGAGCCTGCATCGCAAGCTCCCTACCCAGATATATGTCCTATGCCCGCGGCGTCGGATGGATATCATCAACAAGTTACGAATAAAACCACCTCTTCAGAGCCCCCAAGAAACACAGGCTTGCTCGCTCGCTTGTGGAGCCCCACTATAGGGGCTATTGAAAACTCGCAATATCCATCCCCTCTAAGAATTGTGATACCAAAACGCCGAGCCCAGAATGCGATCCAAATGTAACCTCTTCATCCTAGACCGCCCCCTGAAAATGCTTCCCCACAGGATCATGCCCCAACTGTTCTCCCTTATCCAGCCTCGCGAAGTCCTCCAAGACTCTCCAATCGAAGATCGGAATCCTCTCGTCAAGACCCTTGTCGCATTTCCATCCCAAAGCTCTCAGTTTCCTTTCAGCTCTTTTGCAAAAGTCTACAGTTTGCGCCGGCCGATTTATCTCTACGAGTATGTATTTCTTGAGCCGCCGTCCGGACTTGGAGCGTCGCGGGACGGAGGGGTGTGAGAGCTGCGAGAGCGAAGTGATGTAGTGCGCTCCGTGCGGGAGGATGAGGTCCTCGAGGATGTATGGGAATGTTGAGATGCAGGGTGAAAGGATGATGAGCGTGTTGGCGAAGCGGCAACGATTTTTGGGGATCCGCGAGACGAGAGTGCATTTGCCAGTGCTAAAAGTTACGGGGGAGCGTGCTGGATGGAGGGTGATGACTTTCGGAGGGGAGCCGGCTTCAATTGCCTTGGTGGTAGATTTAGACTGGGATTTTTGGCTTCCGCCGGGTGAGCGATTTGATGAGATCTGGCTGAGAGCTGACCTTGATGGTAATGCTTGATGGTTGATACCTTGAGAGCTCTCGGTGCTTGAATATCCCAATTTCGCAACGGGCGAGCGGCGATTCTCTCCTCCGGATCTGGTCGGCGATGAGGCAGGTAGGGGAGACGACCTCACCGGTGTAGGTGGGGCGTTCGTCTTTGCAGCAGCAGTTGGCTTGCTACTTCCAGAAATGGCAGCAGAGTGACTCGATGATGAGTAGGGCAGAGGAGAAGACTTAGCAGGTGTTAGTGGGGTATCGATTCTGACTGGCGGAGCAAGTTTCGAAGAGGCTGAATCCAAGCCGATACGGAAGCGAGGACCATGCCTCGTGCCAATTGTTGGAGATCTTTCGTGTGGTGTAGATGGCGAAGAAGTTGGTGGAGTCGGAAGAAGACATGCCGCTGACTTTTTCAGATCCAATTCATGTGAAAATCTCTTCCTTTTGCGGCTGTTCTCGACTTCCGCACTTGCCCGAGTACTTCGGCCAGGGGCTCTTTGGCCATCAAGTAAGGCCGTAGGCTTCTTTGAGTTGGCACCTACATGCGTCTTCGAGTCCCACAGTAGAGGATCTTGTGGAGAAATTGGAAGCTGTATCCTGGCTCGTACATCATGCTTTCTTGTCAAGATTCTTTCCTCGCTGCTCGCTATTATCCTGACTCGTAAACAATCCGGTAACGATGATTTCTCTCCCAAGAACTCAAACTCATCGGGAATCTTAGTTACCCCGTAGGACTTTTGTATCATTCGCGTCACCCACTTCGCCTCCGTTGGCAGTAAGTCCAGGTAAAGATCTTCTAAGAGTGATATTTTGCTCGGGATCCCCTCGACCTGGCATGCCAAAGACTTCACAGTTTCTGCCGAGCCATCATTGAAAATCGCCAGTCGCAGAAGTTTCTGATCAGTACCTCGCACACTTGGTTGTATTTCACAAGACCTTAGAGGGTCCTATAGAAATTATCAGTCAATATATCAATGGAAGCCCTGATATAACTATTTTTCGAAGACTGGGAATATGTTACTCACATGATCCTTAGCCTTCAAGACCTGACACAGACGAGAGCCAAGATCCCCGTAGTCAGGTTCCTCTCGCCACCGCTTTAGGTACTGGCATTGCTGCGAAGACAGTTTGAAAATAGTGGTGAGGTGTTGCTCAAAGTCCTCGGCAAAGCCATAATCTCGATCCACCTGGTACTCAGGCTTCAGCAGCATCAAAACAGACGTATCTGCGGTGTGATACGTATTGATTCTGTTTTTGTGCGTCTGAAACCACTTCTTGAGCGCCTTGTAGGTGCGTGACTCCCGGTCCTTTGGTAGTGCAATTGTATCTGTCCGGTCATGGATCTTCTCTAACTTGTCTAAAAGCATGCAAAAATCCGCAAACGGGATACCATTGCAGTGGCTCTTGTGACTCATGCTTCATGAGAGGTGACTATGTGGCATTTAAAGCGGTTCCAGGCAGTCTTTTCGATTATTGGATATGGTGGGAAGTCTCCTTAACGTTGACGGATCGAGGCGGGTCTTGAAGGAATCGCCGGGGAAGGTTTGTCGGCTCAGCAAACGTCGTTCATTTGGCCAAAGCTGATGTATCAAGAGGAGTCAGACAGCCTTACTGAATAAAGCAAGCTCATAGATGCTTTGAAATGCTGTAAGTTGTCGGTATAGAGCCTCTACAGCACTCGTGTCAACACGAGTAGGAAGCGTTGTTTAATTAGTTACCCGTGCCGAGCTTCCTGGTAGCCCACCTGGTAGCCCAGGCAATACACTGGACGGTTTTGCAATAAACAGGAAGCAAATGTAGGTCGTGGATATCAGATGGTGACGGTGACGGTGGTGGTGACATCGATCGCGTCGGCGACGTGTCGTTTATGCCAGAAATAGATGAAAGAAATCGCACGCTGATGCCACGCGATCCCGTGACCCGGAAAAACAAAGGAGTTGGTTCCGTGGGCAGGCTAATCCTCTTCCGGCTCATTAATGGGTCCGGCCCAATCTTAGAGCCCTCATCTCCTGAAAGCTCGGGCCTCTCTCCATATCCACTCCACTTCCACTTCGTCCCATCTCCAATTTCCATCTCCGACTTCCTTTTTCACTCTCCCCTGAGTCCCCATTGTTGTTTGTTGATACATATAAATACATGCAAACGGACATAATTTCTATATCTATCTTTCCCCTTGGTTACTGATTATAATGACTACATGACTGTCACTTACGTACCGGCTTCTTGCTATTGTTTGTTGCTTTTTCTCGGGGGTTCGAATTGTTTTGTTGACTTTGGACAAAGCACTCCCCAACGCAAACGGCGTCTTCTCTTCTGGATAAGCCTCGCCCAACGAACCGCCACGACCGAAACCCGATTTCGACATCTGCAACCGAGCACAATATGCAAAATGGCTTCCAGCCAGCGTCGACGATCATCAGTTAATCGGGAGTCGGTCTCCTCGATCCTGGCTGCAGGGGAACCGAGTAAACCGGCCGACCCCCCAAGCCCTCACATTGGAACTTCCCCCAACAGGGCACACTTCGCAGAACCTCCTTCTCTGTCTGCCGGACGCCATGCTCGAGCAATGTCCTATACACCCCGCCGGCCAAACCGGTTATCCTTATCCTTCCCCGTGGCACCGAGTCTCAGCGAGTCTGCGAGACCAACACCCACTTCATCGGAAGCACCTACATTTCCGTCAACTCCCGTTGAGAAGATAGCTCCGCCAAACCCAGACGAACACGGCAAATTTCTGGTTGCTCTCGCCGGACAGGAGAGGAAGGTGTTCGAGCTGAAGGAAGAACTCTCAAAGGCTGAAGAGGAGTTGAGGATTCTGAAGAAACAATATGCCAAGTACGAGGCGGCCAAGAAGAGGGCAGAGCTGCGGCACGTCGAGCCACTACAGAGTGTCATTACAGATGGTGGTAACAGCGGGGATCCCTCGGCCGTGCCTCGTCAGAGTGCCGAGCTCGACAGGCGAAGAGCCCTATTGAATAATCTTAACCTCCCTAAGGATTCGCGCCGGAAATTCTCGGGTGCTCATACCCGGGCACTTTCCCTGCTTTCTCCTGAAAGATCCAATTTCCATCAGCCTCAGCCGTTCCCGCCTGTCCCAGAATCTTCAGCTGAGAGAACCGGTTTCCCAAGAACCATCCCGGACATTAGCCAAGGGATAAAGAAAACATCTTCCAATCGTGTAAAAGCAAGGCACTCTTACCAGATTGGCGTGCCGCTTGGTGCCAAACAACTTGCCGAAGACCTCAAGTCAGGCTTATGGACCTTCATGGAGGATCTACGGCAGGCGACGGTTGGGGATGAGGCGGTCAATGGTACCACAAGCCGATCGACCCTCGACCTTGCCCACGGTGCTCCTGTCAAGACGAGCAGCAAAAACAGTCTGAAGGGCAACGACCGAGGCAAATCCCCCAGGTCCATGTCACCACGGACCTGGGAGACTCTGACAGGGAGTAGCCCGCTACTGGCTGGTTTATCAGATGAACCTGAAGCCCAAGCTCTCCCACGGGCAAATTCCCCTTCGACCGTGAAGAAGTCTCGCCCTCTCTCCCTTGCTGCACCACCCTTAGGCGACCTTGACGACTGGGGGAACTGGGATTCCCCAATTCCCAAATCACCCCGCTGGAGCGGAAGCTCCACGGTTTCAAACCCGGCTACACCGTCCAACGGGAACAACGCCGATGAGAACGTCCAGTATGATAAATCCTCCTCGCTACCGCCGTTTGTCAGAATTAACAAGTCTAGAATCATTGGTCAGAACGCGGATGGAGTCAGCACGCCTACCATACGCACTGATATCCAATGGCCAGCCCTAGATAATTTGAGCCCGGGCGCTCTGAAGGGTAATCTGCAGCGCACCATGTCGACCATCATGAAAGAGTGGGAGAAGTCGATCCAAATGCCGGTGCCGGCGGAGGAGCGTGCAGCTGGGGTTCCCACTGGCTCCGACGCCCCCCCTGCTGCCAGCACGACGGAGGACGTTGCCATGATGTCTCGATGATTTTTGCTGGTGACCTAGCGAGCGAGCCCACGGACGGTGCTCTTGATGATTGTCTAACTCACTCATGACGGACGAACGAAGTTAATGAATACCAAAAGAATGCTGGATATGTAGAGGTATAGCCGTTACATCTTTCCAGAAGAAAGTTTAATGATATTGCTTTTTTTGTTTTTCATGTGGTCTAGTTTGATAATCCATTTTCATCTGCCGAGTGACGAATGGTGCTGCTCTTCTCTTCTTCGCTCTGCTCTGCTCTGCTCTGCTCTGCTCTGCTCTGCTCTGCTCTGCTCTGCCGCCAAGTGGCTTCCTTCCTACCTACCTACCTACCTATCTGTCTTATCTAGGTTTGGGTTGAGATTCTTTAGATTCGGGTTCTTGTACTTTTTTTTGTCTGCACTTCACATCACTTCACTTCACGTCAAATTTTCACACATTTACATACCTTATATATATAAAGCCCTACCTATTCTGATTTCTATTTTCTGATCTTTGGATTTTGGACTTTGGGCTTTGTATTGTTTTGTATTGTATTGTATTGCAGGTAGGTACATAGGTAGCTAGCTACTTACTTCCTTACGACTTACGATTTAGAAATCGCATGTGTACGGGCATTGATGGTATCTCTTATCTCTTATCTGTCATCTCTCATTATTCATCTCCCATCATCCATAGAAAACCGTAGAAAGGCCACAAACTGCCTGTCTGTCTCTTTTTGGTCTGTCTCTCTCTCTCTCTCTTCTGTCCTATCGTTTTTGTTTCTTTTTACAGATCCAACATAAACCTGATCCAACCCGATGCGATTCGATCCGATGCAATGCGATGCGATGCAATGCCCATAGACTCCTGATATTCCTGGTAACCTAATCCGTAATCCTAGCCTTTCAGACCAGACCAGACCAGACCAGACCAGACCAGACCAGACCAGACCAAGCAAGTAGGAAGAAGTCAAACAACACACACCTCTTCCCGACTCATCTCTCCCTCCCCTCTTTGCAAATGTTCCTTTACCCCAAAAAGGAAACGAGGTGGGGGGTTGCATTCGCAGAGATGAGGAGGGTCGGATAGAAAGAAAAATCTTTGAGCTTCGAGCGAGCGCGTGGTCGTTTTGCTGTGTTGGTTGGTTGGTTGGTTGGCGCGAGACGAGGGGAGGGGAGGGAAAATTTGAAGATTAAGGAAGGAAGGACGGAAAAAAGAGAAAGAGGGAAAAAAACATTAGAAGCTAGAACGCCAGCATGGAAAATTGATATGGTAGGTATGGAACAAGTGATTTGTCAGGGAGGGATTGGATTGGATTGGATGGATCAAGCCGACTTTGCAACGCGCTCAATGTCGGAGGTATCGGAGGCGCCGGGCGAGGAGGTGATGTGGACTCCTTTATTCTGGTTGTATGCGTGACGGGAGGCCTTGACGGAGCTGGTGTCGGAGGGGCGGGGGGAGTCGAGGGGAGGGGCGTTGCGATTGGCGGTGTCCTCGTAGCTGCGCCAGAAGTCCTTCTTGCTTGGGGCTTGTTAGCTGTTTGTTGTTCCTGAGACGTGGAGATGGGAAATGGGAGGATAGTGAGAACGGACGGAGTGAGGAATGGTTGGTATCTTGCCAAAAAGCAACATATGGAAGGAGAAAGAAAAAAAAGGAGGGGGGGGGATTCACATACCCCTTGAAAAGCCTCACGAGCCAGCCAGGGATGACACCGCCCTTAACTTTCCAGGTCCATGGCTCCTTGAGCGCCTTGTCGGGAGGCACGCATTTCCCACCACTGACAGTTTCGACCAACAACACGGTCATGTTGAGGATGATGTAAGACACAAGACCGGCAATCAGACCGTAGGCAATGTTGTAGGTGAACGGCATGGTGGCCAGGGTGACGAAGGCTGGGATGGAGTCGCCGGGGTACTTCCAGTTGATGTCCTTAGCGGTGGAAGCCATCATCGCACCGACGATGATCAGGGTACATCCGGTCGCCCAGGGCGGGAACGAGGCGAAGATCGGAGCGAAGAAGATGGAGATGAAGAAGCAGATACCGGTAGTCATGGCGGTCAGTCCCGTCTTGCCCCCTTCGGAGATTCCAGCGCCTGACTCGATGAAAGCGGTGACGGGGGAGAGCCCAAAGAGCGAGCCAACCGAGATGCTAAGAGCTGAGCAATCTTGTTAGGATCGCGATGCGGAGCTGGGGGCAGGGCGAAGAACTTACCATCCACCAAGTACGCAATAGCAGAGCCCTCAAAGTCTTGCGTGTCCTCGTCGATGGCGCCAGCGAAGCGGGCCATGGAGTACAGCGTAGCCGTAGCATCCATAACGTCGACATACAGAAAGGTGATCATTGCAAGCGTGAACTGGGCACTCGCACCACTGAGGTTCCACTCGTTGACACCGAGCGTCTCACCGATCGGGTGGAAGGTGACCACCTTCTTGAAGAAGTTAAAGTTGGCATCTCCGACGGGGGTTCGAGGGAAGAAGGTGACCGAGGTGTCTCTTGGCCAGGAGATGATCGAGACGAGCAAGATACCGGCGATCAGGGCTCCCCTCGCCTTGTACATCAGAAGGATGGCGGTCAGGAAACCACCACAGAACACACCAAGCCAGAGGGTAGGCGAGCGCATCTTCGTGGATGTAGGGCATACGCCATTGACATCCAAGTCTGCTGGGGAACAGCCTGCGAGCTCCAGTGGGGTAGCAGAGGCACCGGTGATGGCTCCAATTCCTGCGCTGTAGGTGAAGCCGATAATAGCTGATCTCAATTAGCCATCATACAATACATACAATACCTACAGCACAGCGCCTTTGGCGTGGGGGGGGGGGCGGGACTTACTCAAGTATAGACCGATCCCAACTCCGGCACCTAGCTTGATGGAGGCAGGAATGAGTCGGGCAAGCCATTGCCGCAGGCCCAGAATCGAGAGAGCGAAGAAGATGAAACCCTCGATGAAGATGGCCGTCAAGGCCAGCTGGTAGCGGACCGGTCCGAAGCCGTAAGGTCCCACGACGGTGTAGGAGAAGTATGCATTGACACCCATACCCGGTGCGAGCGCAACTGGCATGTTGGCGAAGAGGCCCATGGAGAAACTGGCGAGGGAAGCGATGGCGGCCGTGGCCGTGATATAGTCACGGGTCATGCGACTCAGGCAGAGCGAGTACTCCGGCTGGCTGAGGCAATCGTAGGGGGTGCCGTCCTCGGGCAGCACACAGGCGCCGCAGGTTCCACCGGAGGCCGTGAGGATGTTGGCATTGACCTATACATACGAAGTATACCGAACCGCGTTAGGTCTCTGCAGTCACGTTTTGCATGCGAGAAAGGAAGGATATGCGACGAACCGAGATGATGTAAGCCATGGCGAAGAAGGTCGCCATGCCGGCGCGAATCTCCGTCAGGAAACGAGCGTCCTTTCTCGCCTTGGGATGGCCGGAGCCGTCGAGTCGGAATCGCTGACCGACGAAGCTGGTCGCGACGTCACGGTTGATGCTGGCGATGAAGCCCATGATGGAGAGTCGGGTCAACAATCTGCACAGCTGGCTGAGTGCCGAAGGGGTGTCTCTTGATGTGAGAGGCGTAGGAGGGTCTCTCGCGCTGCTTCATGGCGGGCGAGGGTCGGGGTTTTGACGTGACTTATAAGGCCAGACCGTGTTGAGGGGGGTGGAGGGGGGAGGGGGGGGAGGGAGAGGTGGGGGGGGGGGGGGTTGCAGGTGCAGGTGTGTATTTCCAAAGCTGACTGGTGTGGCGGCGTTCTTACTCGTTCTGCCCACGATACGGGGCCGTTGCCAAGGGGCGGAGAGTCTCTGGTGGCTTGGCGTGCAGGCTGGTGTTGTTGACAAAGGGCGGGACTCGGGAGATCGAAGGGCCAAGAAGGTTGATGCGACTTGGCAAGAAGAAGGAAAAAGAGGAACAAATCAGACTGGACGTGGACGTGGAAGTGGAAGTGGAAGTGGACGCTAGTGAAAGTGGAGATTGACCAGAAGTGGAAGTGAAGTGGGTACGGGTACATGCTACTTGAGGCGACTACCACTAATCCACCAAGAGACAGTGATGGCAAAGGGGAGAGGAGAGGATCGATACAGTAGACCAACAACTCAACGCGGCACTCGCTCTTACTCGACCAGCTCCCGCAGCCTATCAGGCCGTCCTCGCCTGGCCATGGCCATGGCCCTGGCCCTGGAATATGCCGTATCACACCGACTCCCGCCAGACAGAGAACCCGCAGCTGTCAAGCGGTCCATCCCCGTCTGCCCTTGTGATAGGTAGTAAGTACAAGTAGTACTAGTACTTACTCTGTACCTACTATACTGTACTGTAGGGACTCGCTTGACATTTCTGGCGCCTGCCCTATTGGTGTTGTGGTCCGAGGAGAGCCTGCCTCGGGTCCGAGCCAAGGCTGCACGTCAAGAGGCTATCACAATAAGAGTTGTCTTGGCCCGGCCCGCCGCGGGATGGCAGCGATAAGACTCGCGCAGCGGAAACTGTAATTGCAGGCATTAAATACCGGTACTCCGTACAACCTCGATTACTCAATCGCTTAGTCAGTCAGAGCGTGGCTCGTCAATGGTCAGTGGTACACGAGAGCCTGGCCGGTGGGTGTAGGGCTGGTGGTCCAGATCATCGGGATCATGGTGGCGGTGGGGGTGGTGGCGGCGGTCGTGGCATCGAAAGGCAAGCCATATCCGGATGACGCCACGCAGACTTACGCTCTATCGGAGACCTGTATTTTCTCTTCCCCCGTCTCGGTAAAATCAAGGGGAGAGGAGAGATATCGACGACGGGGTTTCACTTTCGGGAAATGGATTCTCTTCGGATAATTTCGACTACTTCACGGGCGGCGATCCGTCGGCTGGGCATGTCCACTACGTCCCAGCTGAGATGGCTGCCTCTTACAACCTGACATACGCCTCTCCCTCCTCAGCCGTACTACGCGTCGATACCTCAGTTACCAACGATACTGTCCCAAGTCAGTGTTTGGGCAGTAGCCAATTCCCTCCATTCCCTTCCTACAAGTATCCCAGTGGCAGCCTACTCCCCCAGACAGACTGCTCCCAAGAAACCCAAAAACGATCACCTGCTGACTTCCGCATCTTCGGTAGACGCCTCGACAGGCCTCTTCTCGGTGCGCGTCACGTCGGAGAAGCAGTCCGGTCTCAATACTCTCTTCATCTTCGACTTGAAGCACTCCCCAATCGGCTGCGGCACCTGGCCCGCTCTCTGGCTCACCGATCCAAGCCACTGGCCCACCAACGGCGAGATAGACGTCATGGAAGCGGCGAACACCATGGAGCCTCCTACAACCAGATGATGCTGCACACGTCCAGCGGCTGCAGCATGAAATCCGTGAAGCGCAAGGAACGCGGCTCGGTCATCGCCTCCAGCTGTGCCGACACGACCTTCGGCTCGACGTTTAATGCCCGTGGCGGTGGCGTGCTCGCTCTCGAGCTGCGAGAGGCCGCCATCCGGATGTGGCAGTTCGCCCGGGCCGTCGTGCCCCCTTATGTCTGGAGCAGTAGGCCGGACCCGAACGGCTGGGGCGCGGCGACAGCCGATTTCCCGAACACGGACTGTAATATCCGGAAGCACTTTAGGAACCAGAGCATCGTGGCGAACATCGACCTGTGCGGGACGTGGGTGGGGGCGACGAGCACCTATTCCGAGCACTGTGAGTTATGGCGTTCCTCGGCATCAACGTCTTTTTTTGTTTTGTTTTGGTTCTGGTTTGGTTCTCTCTCGGGTTGCCTGCCCATGCGGCCTCTTCTCCCAGACGTACTGATCAGGAATACGTAGGTCCTGGAACTTGTGTCGACCAAGTGTCAATCAACACCACGGCGTTTACGGACGCGTATTGGGAGTTTGGGAACTTTACCATCTTCTCCGTCTCCTGATTGAAGCCCGACTCGAACGAGTCACTTATTTCGCTGCTGTCTACCTTTTTCTAGGTGGTGGTGCATGATCACCAGACCTATAATGGAATTTCGTCTTTCTTCTTGAGCGGTAAGGATTGCATGTGTGAATAAAGAGCCTTATTCAGAAATGCGTCAGTACCGGCTGTTTTGAGTATATACGTGGTGTTTGATGGCCATGGATACTGAAGCGCTGGCCATGCCATGGGCAGGAATGGAGGCAGGCAGGCCAGAAGCTCGATGTGAAAGGGGTCGCGCATAATGATAGTAATGATAGGTAGTGTAGAGATGAATAGGCCTGATCAGCTGATCAGAGCGCAGATATTAAGAGCTGAAAAGGCAGCAGAGCTTAGTTGTCAACGTAAATACTTCAAGAAACGATGCTTCGTCGCTTTGATGGTGATTAAGCAACGGTGGATTCCGAAGGTAGCCAGCCTTGCACGATCGTCGTCGTTATCGTTAGTGGTAGGTAGTGATGACGATATTTCCACCGACCCACATTTATTTTTCTTCCACCGTCACCGCCTCCTATTCCATCCATCCATCTATCCATCCGCGCACAGCCTCGCCTCGCCTCGCCTCACCCAGAAGAAGAAAAAAAATTAACAACTTTCTCAACCCTCACCAAGGCCCCTTTTCCCAATACCTAACCTACCTCACTCACTGATCTACGAAACGCACTTCGGCGACGACGAATTGACGAACCTCGGAGTTTACGATTGGATTGATTGTGGGCCTCGCGTTCTTTTCTGTGGGCTTCTGTGGGTATTGGTGTTGGTTTTGGGTGTATTGGTTCGGTTTGGGTGTGTGTGTATTGGAGATGAACGGACCGATGGCGAACATGTATAGCGGGGTCGGCGGCGGTAGCGCGGAGGACGAGCAGGCGAGGATGATGGCGAGGAATGTAGGTGTATTTCTTTGGTGGCTTGATTTGGCGGTGGGGGAAAGAGGAAGAGGAAGAGGAAGAGGAAGAGGAAGAGTGGGAGGATATGGAATGGTGGATATGAATGGGGAGAATTGGGAGCGAGGGAATTGTCTGCGAATACATCAATCACGTCTGGGAAAAGCGACACGACACGACGAGGGATTGACGGGCGAGGCAGACAGAACTACTGTTCTCTTCTTCTTCCTTCTTTGATTTCCTTCGTGGAGCATTAGCATGCGATCGAGAGGGGACGAGAGCGAAGTTGCTGACGGAACCTGCGAAACAGATGCAGAAGATGATGGAGTCCTGCCCAGGCAAAACCGCCGTGTCGGGCGTAATGGGCTTCGCCCTCGGCGGCGCATTCGGCCTCTTCATGGCTTCAGTAAGTCCCTCCCTCCCATCAACCTTCCCTTCCCTCCCTCCCTCTCCTCCACCACCTACCTCCACAATCTCTCTCTCTCTTTAACACCTCCTAACACCCCCCACCTAGATGCAATACGACACCCCCCTCCACACCTCCTCCTCCGCCGAAGCCATCAAGTCCCTGCCCCTGCGCCAGCAGCTCAAAGCCGGCCTCCGCGACATGGGCGCGCGCTCCTACGCCTCGGCCCGCAACTTCGGCAAGGTCGGCGCCATCTTCGCCGGCACCGAGTGCTGCATCGAGGGCTTCCGCGCCAAGAACGACCTCATGAACGGCGTCTGGGCCGGCTGCATCACGGGCGGCGCGCTGGCGGCCCCCGCGGGGCCCCAGGCTGCCGCGCTGGGCTGCGCGGGCTTTGCCGCTTTCTCGGCGGCTATCGATGCGTATATGCGGCGGCCGAGTGAGCTGGACTAGTATGGTTGTGGTGGTGGTGGTGGTATGGGCACGGGCGATATACAGACTTGGGAATGTAAGAGACGAATCAAAGAAGATAAAGAGATGTAATGGGCCAAGCGAGAGGGGGGGAGGCATCTGTGTGGTGTGTGTGTGTGTATGTACGAAGTATCATCATACCATACCTCCATCCCCTACCAGATAGACAGACAGAGAGAAACCCCCATCGTCTCTCTCTTTCTTTACTGGGATTCGGATCCGGACTGGGGCATTGCGAGGGCGTTGTTTTTTTTCCCCCCTTCTCGACGAGCTAAGGACAGAAATCCAGCTTGGTTGATATTTTTGTCCTTTTACTCGTCTTATCACGTCATGTCCGTCGGGATTGATCATGGAATCGAGAGGTGTGTATTGTATTGTATTGTATGGTATTGTATGTAATATTATAGAAATCTCTCAAATCTTGGAAATCTGGAAATCTGGAAATCTGGAAATCTGGAAATCTGGAAATCTGGAAATCTGGAAATCTGGAAATCTGGAAATCTGGAAATCTGGAAATCTGG